ATAATTTTTGGTATAGTAGTTGTGACTTATTCACACTATATACATTTGGCTTCCGCAACATTGACTATAGGCGCATTAAATAATTCAAATAAAAAAAAGTTAAGGCGCCCCTGCTCCCCACTGCTTGCATTAAATGGTTTTTTGCTGAGATCACAATCGATACTATTTTTGGACAATTCCAAATCCAACGGTTCGACATTAATTAAAGTCCATATTATTTTAGATGCAATAAAAAATTATGGCTTATTTCCAAGAATAACATACAAGTCAAGCTCTTCCTACAATCGATCATCTAGAGAGCTTGCATATGATGTGATTCGTCTCTATTGTTTCATCTCCACAGTCTATCTTTGCTAAACCTTTTAGATCTTTTAAGCCTTAATTAAACCCCTCCTCGTATCTCTGCTTCATACGATACCCCTCATTTTCTCTCTGTTGATTGGTAACCCGCCTTATTTCTCTCTTGTTTTTGTTGAAAATCGGTGAATATTAATTTTGATAATTAACAAATATGGCAGTTGTATTGGGTTAATTAGTTGAAGGACCTTGACATGTTGGTTTGTTCTTGCAAAGTGCTGGGACTTCACTTTAGCGCCAGATATTAGCAATTGCGCAAACAGTAGAGAATCTTGGTAAACCTTTATTGTTGACTTAGGTATCAAGCTTGTGAGAAAGTAGAATTATAATTAGAGTCTTTCTAAGGAAACAAATATATTTCCTTATTCTCAAGGTTAGCAGATCTTTTGAAGGATATATTATGCACGAAATTTATGGGAATAAAATAGTTTTTCTTGATGGAATAGAATTAAAATTGGTGTAAGAAACAAATAAGAAAATTACGTGGTCATATATGGTAAGTTTTTTTATGATATAGCTCTCTTATTATTTATTTTCTTTTTAATTTGGACTCCTGTAATACCCAATGTTTATTTAGAGCATATTAGTCTTTTATCATAACTTTAAAAAAAAAAACTAATCAAGTAAAAGAGGGACAAAAGCCCACCGGAACAAAAAGCAGCAAGGGGGTTAGGGATAGGGAGACGCAGCAAGGGGGTTAGGGATAGGGAGACGCAGCAATTGCTGCTAACAAGGTCTAGAAGAAAAGAAAATAGAAGATAAGGAGGAGGAAAGCCAACAGCCAAAGTACACAAGGAGAGTTGGGGAAAAAGCTTTGGTTCCGCAAAAAGGAAGCTTTTTCCAGCTAATTTTTTGTTTCAAATTTCAAGGTACTTTGTTTCACCNGAAAGCCAACAACCAAAGTACACAAGGAGAGTTGGGGAAAAAACTTTGGTGGCCCAAAAAGGAAGCTTTTTCCGGCCAATTTTTTGTTTCAAATTTCAAGGTACTTTGTTTCACTAATTTGAGAATATATCTTAATGATTGGAATTAAATAATGAGATTGGCTAAAAGTGAGTGAAAACAAGGAAGGATATGTAAAACTTTTGTTAATCTTTAGCAATCCGTGGAGGAGTCATGAATGCTTATAAAGAACTTTGTAGCAAGTACCATTCTTGCCCTCCAAACAAATTGAATTCTTATTCATTTAGAGATTGTAGTAACAATGTAAAGCAAGATATAAAAATATGAATCATCTTTCATTTCAATGAAATACGCCTATATGAATTGACAGAGAGTCAATAGTTGTATTCCAAGAAAAAAAAAAGATAATAAGGTTAGTGAATTAATTAAACTTAACAGAAATTAACCGATTGTATTGGTAGTTCATAAAGTTGATATATAGATTGGTTTTATGATAGTATAGGTAGTTGAAGAAGTTGTACGGATTGCTCGTGCAGACGCGTTTGGTATTTCGGCACAAATATTGTGAGTAGTAATCTTACCGCAATTTGTGTTTTCATAACTTGCATGATTTACACATGATTTTTAAGATGAATATGTTACCGATTATTCTGAGTTGCATGTGGGACAAGTCTTTTATTAGATAGAAACCGAAATAGTTATTTGAGATGGTTATTGTGGTTTTAAATATTTCCGTTGTCACTAGATATGTTTTACTGTTACTTGAATTTACTGTTATCGAAATGAAATTATATGATTTGATAAGAACCGAAATGCCCTGTATTGTTTTAAAATATTTTCTACGAGTATATATACGGATTACAGAGACAAGTATAAATGAGAGTAGACATTGAAGGATCCTGTAGCTAACGAAGGTTCGTTAGACCTGGTGCACCTTGTAATTACAGATTACCGTTATAGCCCTCACTAGTGGGAAGGTAGAACTAGCATACCGTTACCGATTTCCCTCGAGTAGGGACTACCGTTATATTTGACTTCTTGTGAAGAAATCCACAGTTATACCGATTACATGATTTGTTCATTGAAACCTCCCAAAATATGAATATTGATATTATATAGTGGTTACCAAGTTTATTACGGAATTGTCAATCGTATTATACTACAAGAAAAACATGATTGAGACTGAACATTGTTTATTGTTTCTAAAAGGGGCATTTTTATGATAATTTCTGTTTAATATAATAGCATCTTTTCTGACTTGTCCCCAAATAAAAACGGTTGTGGTTAATTGTTATTACTCACTGAGCTAGCAACTAATTCCCCGCTAATTTTTTTTACAGAGACAACATTTGACGCGGAGGATTTTGTTAATTAGAACGCACAGGTTGATAGTTCTTAGTGAGCCTCGCATTTGTTCGCGTGGGCGGAGACTTTATTTATTGTTATACTCTTTTCTTTGAACTCTTAGAGTCGCTCCATAGTCATTATTTTAGTGTCATGAGTATTCTTTTGTTATTATAGTCTTATGTTGAGTATCGTTCTCATTTATTAAAGTTGGAGATAAATTAGTATTTCTAGTGGTTAGGTGGTGGTTTAGTTATGGTGGAGACTTGTATTGGTTACCTGACAAGTTGTCAATTGTTTGGTATGATATTAGGATGTTTGGTTGTTGATTTGAGACAAGAAAATTTTTGGAATGGTCCAAAGACAGGCTACTCTAAATGAGGTTTTCAAGGCCTCGGAAGCACATAATGGATAAGAAAACAGGTGATGACTCTTTGGCTCGTCACAACAACAACACACATATTCAAGCGATAAAAGAGACGGAGAAGAGAAATTTTATATTCAAAGGAAAAGGACAATACATGAAAAGCATAAAAGTTTAGTCAAAGGGGAAAGGAGCTTAAATATAGATACATCTTAGATTACTCTAACACATATATTTGTGAATTTCATCCATACGAAGGCTTTGATGTTCACTTCATCAATACAAGAACTTTAATGATCTTTCTAACCTTAAATGGGAAGGCATTGAGTTTACCTGCTATTTATAATTATTCGATGATTAGGTGTATATGCTAATGGTAAGTAGATCGATATTTGTGATGTGACAATTTTCCAGACACTACTTACTCAGCCATAGCGAATAGAATCCCCAAGTCAAACTCAGCGGAGACATACAACAAATAAAGAAGTAGATGAGCAAAAAGAAACCATCTAGACGTAATCTGCAATTATAACACATTATAATATAATAATGAGCAAACATAAGATTGTCAGAATGATTATAATACAAAATCAAAGAATCCAAAAAGTGAACAAGTTGTACGTCACACTTACTAACAGGGTACATCTAGAAGGAAGAAAAAAGCAAGATAAAAGAAAATTTACCATAATTTAACAAAATAAAGCACACACCAGAAATAACATAGATCTAAATTAAGAAATTTAGGAATATAAAGGAATGAATATGAAAATTAGACAGAACAAATAGTAGAGGAGGAAACAGTAATCACTACAAAAATGAAAAAAAAATCCAACACATTTAAGGTAAAGATTCGCAATACTCGCTGGACATTCTTCCCCAATTTCTGTTATAAAATAATTTCTACAATTAAAAAAAAAATATTAATGATACCAAAATTGAGTATTGATGCAGGAGTAGTTTCTCCAATGATATCAATTGAATATGAAGCAAGAAGCCCTACGTCATAAACTACATTATATGTGGAGCGATCATCATCATTGTCAACTGTAGCCGGTCTAATTGATACCTTGACACAGTTAGCACCCTTGAGAGGTAGAAGCCCTAGTTGGCGCAAGCGATTTGATCAACAATTAACTTAGCAGTTGGTCACTATGTGTCCTTTGAAATTTGAAAAAAATCTTGCAATTGTTTTCGTTAGTTATTCGAGTCAATATTTTACCTAGGATTAAACTAAGTCATGCAAAGCAAATCTTTATGAAACACCAATATCCCAAGAAATATTTAGCATAAGAGAAAAGCACAATTAAAGACACCAAACGATGTTATAGTGTTTTTTCAAATAGAGGATAATTTTCTTAGCATTGCAGCATCTAACTTTCCAATTCGGATGAACATCAACTATGTACCTTTAAAAGATTGAGATTTGAAACGAACAAAAATTACAATATATAAACTCAGCACTTCATTTGCCAGCAAGCCAAAGTTAGTACATATAGTTTTGCCAGTAAAGATGATAACAGAAATAAGTTGAAAAGCTTCATGGGGTCAAGAACAGAATATTTTGCAAGAAAGCAGGACTTCATTTGACATAAGTGGGCATGGTACCTCAGTGGTACCTTTGTCAACTACTTAAATATCAGTCATCATGTTCTTAAAACTGAATTATGTAAGAATTGAATGATAAAGGAAGGTTAATGGGCTAAATATGAATTACCTTTCGTATCATCAACTAAGCAGTGATTCAATCATAAAGGTGGGCTTCTTTAGCTTGCAAAATTCTCAGACATCATAAAATCTAGAAGCAAAGTTTTGGCAATTACCCATATCCAATTCAAATCATACATGGCACTATGACAGCTTTGCCCAAATTTATACTAAAAACCTGACACCCAAGGTTTGGGTAAAACAAAAGTTACCTACTAAATTCTTCTAGCTAGCATTTGCTCACTTGTTATGTTAACATGTTCATATGACCACTGAACTTCATACTAAATTACATTCAGCAAGAAGTAAATCTTTCTGTTGCATTTCGGAATATGGAATTGTTATGAGTTGAGGTGATGTTCTAGTTTAAATATACTAATTTTTCCACCCCTTAATTGTAGAACCAATTCATTTTCGGAATATGGAATTGTTATTTTTCCACCCCTTAATTGAAAGATCATAAGAATATATGCAATCACTTCTTACAGTCGGTTTGATCAGCAACTGTGCAACTCCAGTTCATGCAGTTCTTTCACAAAAAGCTGCACCACACATGAGTTTATTATACATATAATTTGCAATATGATTCAGAGTTGCAATAGTCGATCGATGAAAGAAAGCTTTTGATTTCTCTTAGTTAACTCATGATTGTTTAAAGCTCACTGCAACATTCTCTCTGGATATTAAAACCACCCCAAAGTATTTGCTTTCTTCTGATTTATGTATGGTTTTTGGCATCATAGAGCAGTCACTGAGTACTTACTGCTCAAGTGGTTGCTCAAAGTTAAAGATGAATTATTTTGCCACTTTTAATTAGTGAAATCTCTGTTAAGCAATTGATTGGTTGTAAAATTGCAAGCAATTGAAGCAAAACACACAAAAAATAAGAAGTACAGAACTGGGAATGATATTACTAACAAAGACAGAACAAGAGGCTGAAAAAAGAACTTTAGCCCGAGAGCTTAGGTCTAGTGGTAAGTGTCAGCTTGTCATGAGTGGATTAGGCACACGTGAATTTGAAAACTATCACACCCTAGTATTTAAGTAGAGAAGGATAAAGGGACGAGCTCAATACCCATCATTTTTTGAAGTGTGCACCACTACCTAGGAGGTTTCTCATTTATTGGGAAAACAAAGAACTTTAGACTGTAAGGAGTAAAATAGAACAACCATGTTCATAGGATTGAAAGCCGATTGCTACTTTCTTGCCTTGGGGCATCGCATTCTGGATAACGTAAGAAAAAGTCTTTCTCTACTGTCTTCAGTCTGGTTTGCTTTAGAAGTAAGCAAGCGGCCACCCTATCAAGAATTTACCAGCACATATAAGGTTGATCGTTTCAAGGCCTGATCTTTTTGCAATTTCTTCTCTTAACATTGGTAATGTCCATTCTTTTAGTTTTACGTCTAGTACTCCACTTCATCCCCACCTATCTTTAATTTTGCTTATTTTTGCAAAGAAGAATAGAGTTGTATGTATAATTTAAGTCTTTTAACTATGTGTGTTTACTGTTGTTTTGTGGCTCCAAATGCAATACAAATTTTATGATTCTAACGATGAACACACGAGATAATGTGCCTGAGTGTTTGAATTGTGTTTTGGTTTCAGAAAAAGATTACATTTCAAAACAATCATTTTCGAGCACAACCAAGGGGATTCAATTAAATTCTCCCTTGCCAGAAAACTACACTGCATAAATAGGGTAAAAACAATTTGTTTATACAAATATAGAATTTCAATCCTCTTAGCATTAGAGAAATACATGATTAAATGGCATATGTGGCCCATTGTTAGAATTTCTGACTCCGCCACTGAGCACCAATATAGAATAAGCAAATTACACGATCCAATTAGGGCAATTGTAGGCTAAACATGTGCTCGAGATATAACAGCGCAGAACACGAAGTAATTTTGTTTTTACATAGTCCGTGTGCTTAGATATAGGACATTTACACTCTATTCAATTTTAACACATAATACACTGTCCACGAGCTTAAGTCACGCATAATGCGGCGACAATCAACAATCTGAAATACTCCATATTAATCCATGAAAGAAAAGACTCTGGACTACTCTATACCAAAAACACTCACAAATTGTGGAAGTCTTATGTTCGTTCTTTTAAGTTGATAAACAGAAAACTTAAACTTTCACTTAATCAACATGCACACCCAAGAAAACAATTCCTACAGATAAGTATTTTAAAGAGCGAAAAGCACATAAAAGCGACAAGGTCCCGTGGAGCTTGAAGCGAAAACAGGAAGCGAAGCACATGCTTTTTTCAAGTGAAGTGCACAATTACAGAAAATTAAAACCAAACATAGATGCATTAGTAATATAATAATCAAAACGCAATAAATAAATGAATTCACCAATATATGATTACCGATTTTATTCCAACTCTTCAAAGTTGAGCTTTAAAGAACCGACAGTTTTTTGTTTAATTCACTTAAGTCATTTAACTGAAGTGCATGGCTTGACCTACAAAGCAATAAACCCTCGCTTTGAATCGCTACATTGCTTTAATCCTCTTTTTTAATAAATAATAGGAAACAACATAAAGAAAGTGCTAGTCAGCATGTACAACCCAATCAAACTGTGCAGACTATTAATTAGACACTATCTTATTCTTATCTTAAGTCAATTATCCGTTTTCTCTTCTTTTTTCTTTTGATGATGAAACAGTAAAGATTGTGTTAATGAGTACTAAGAAGGTACTTATAAGAGAATATCAGAAGAGAGGTCTTGCCTATATATATCGAAGGAATTCAAAAGATCCAACAATGAGGTTATGTCAGATTTAAAATTCTTCCTACACCACAAATAAAAACTCTTACTGTCTTACAGCATCTAGATTTCAGTCGTCTCATTAAAATACTTATTTGTTTCTCTCTAGCCAAGTATTCCAGAGAATACAAGTAGGAACTGCATTCCAATAGTATGCTTGCTAGCAAATGGTAATGCATACCAGCTGCATAGAGCATGTTTTATTCTTCCTGGCATAACCCATTGGACTCCAAAAATTCTCAGGAACACTGAAAAGTAATAACGACTTGAGACTAATGATCTTGCCTGTTATTAATATTTGAGACTAATGATCTCGAAATCGAATACTTCCAATACCAGTAATTTCCACACTGTCTTCTAAGTAATTAATTTCAGCCATCACACATTGATTGAGGCATTAAGGCTTATATCAGGAACCCATTTTCATCCCATTCACAAAAAGAAAAAGAAAAAAATAGAAACAAAATCATTCATGCTTAAGTAATTCCACTCTAATTATAACCTCAAACTCCTTAAATTTTCAGCAGCAGTTATCAAATGACTATTATCAAGATAAGAGGCAATCTTAAATCAAGCTTCTGTAAATTAGTACAACATTTGCCTTGACTCAAGAAATGAAGCAACTCGTCTTTACTGCTACCATCATATATCAACAAAGAATTCAACATACCACAGTTTTCAGCCAATTTTAACAAAACCCCATCAACAATTGCTCTACAAGTTCTTAATTCCATTGTTTCAAACCCTCCAAATATTCAAGAAAAGAAATGCTAAAAAAGAACTTTGATCACCAACACTTTCACAGCTTTTCAACTTTAAAGTTCTCATCTTTTTGCAATTTCTCCATAAAAAACTAACACCCTTATCTCATGCTTTAATTCCAGACAACAAAAAACTTTCCAAATTCAACTTAGAATCACAAGAATCAAAGGTACTTGAGATTAAGACAAGATGAAGAGATTGAAAACAGTAAATGGTCGGAGGAATCTATGGTGTCTGAGATTGTAACAGAGACAGTAAACCGAGAGAGCAAAGAAAGAAACGGAGGCGGAGGACGGCGGAGGAAGGCGGTGGAATATTTCTTGAAGAAGTTTATCACAGAGAATTGTATCCATTCTTGTTCTTTGCAGACATAAAAAATCAACTGATTTCTGTAATTTAACAAACTGAATTTGTTTTCTTGATTTCAATTCATCTCCGAGAAAAAAGAAAAATTCCAATTTCATCCATCAAAACCCTAACTTGAAAATTAGAGACACTATGACCTTCCTTTGCAATTCCGTTTATCAGCTTTGAAGTGACACCCTGATAAACATCAAGGACCTTCACAGGTCAGCTTCTAGTTACTCCCTCCGTTCCAATTTGTGTGAACCTGTTTGACTGGGCACGGAGTTTAAGTAAAAAATGAAGACTTTTGGAATTTGTGGTCCTAAACAAGTTCAAATGGGGCCCAGAGTATTTGTGTGGTTATAAAAGCTTCTCATTAAGGGTAAAGTTGTAACTTTAAGCTAAATTGTTACCAAATTTAGAAAGAGTTCATTCTTTTTGGAACGGACCAAAAAGGAAATAGGTTCACATAAACTGGAACAGAGGGAGTATATAATTCCTTTGTTTGTCCTCTCATGTGGTTATATTCTTTTAGCGTTTATCAAGAGAAGGGCATTTCATAGGAGGTCAAAAGGAAATATACATTTGCGAGTGCAAATCAGAGGGACGGACGGGAGGAGGAAGTAGAAGACTGCCAATTACAGATGTAACTTGCTTTGTACTAAAGATTTATCTTCTGTGTACTCCTATAGTTGGGTGACTCGAGTTCTTTTGAAAGCAAATAACATTCTTATCATATTCTTTTCATATGATTCGAAAACATCATGTCTATCCTTGTGGGACTATATTGGCTATGTTGTTGATGTAGTACTTTAATATTTTGGTTATATCAAAAATCTGAATCAGGAGAGGCATTAACCTTCATGTTCCAAACCTCTAAATTTCAGAAATTCGATAGTGGTTCTTCACCTCCTTTTTCCAAACCGAACTACCAAACCATTTCACACAAAAAGTAAACACGAAAAAATAGCACAAGAACAAAAAAAAAATTTACAGACTGAAATGTATAAACACTTCAATGACAAACCCACATAACAAACAAAAAACTTCAATATCAAAAACTCATGTTGTATTCCACTCCCAAACACACACACACAAAGGAAAAGCAAATTTTTATCAAATATCAAAACCCCATGTTTTATTCACACAGCAGTGTCTGTTAAAAAAAATATTTCCCCAATTTCATCTATCAAAACCCTAACTCAGAAATTTCCAAAATTGATATTAAAGACTAAGAAATTTACCTGAAAGTTCAAGAGATTTGAGAGAGAAACCGGGAAAATTCAACACAAATCACAGGTACAAACACAATCACAGGCCAACAAATGTCAAAACCAAAAAGCATGGATTAAAAGCTAGAAACTAAGGAGCAAAGCTGATACAGAGCAATAATCGAGCAAAATAACTTTGAATTAAACTCAAATCTGAACTTCAAAAAGGATTTTTTACCTGATTTCGAATTGGTCTTGTGATGGATCGTTTCCCTGATGCCTTTTCTTGTGTGTGCTTTGCTAAGGAATATGTTGAAAGAGAAAGAAAAGCATACATGTGGAAGTAGCAAAAAACATATACGTATATCTGGAAAGAGCATAAAAGGGCATGTATATAGTTGATGAGAAATGACTGAAGTCTTCTTTAAAAAGATTCCAAACAGACGTGGAAAGTCTTGCTCTTCTACAATATAGAAATATAAAATTCCGCACTTTGAAACTATTTCAGTTATTTAACAAAGGAGCAGATATTAGAATAAGTTCTTATACAGGTGTCTAAATAAGCATCAAACTAACAAGTTTGCTGTTGGATAGTTTTTATTAATTGAATTTCCTTCTGCGAGAAATGGTACTATTAGGATACTTATTAGTTTTGCAATTGGGTCAATAAAAATATAGCCCTTCTAGTTCTAGTATTAAAATAAAAGTCGGGGGGGGGGGGTTTCC